CTGCGGCGGTCCGGCTCGGGCTACGAGGGCAGCACCAGCTGGAAGGCGGCCTTGGAGGGTAAGCGCGCAGCGGCCCTCCATCCCCGGCCCGGGGACCGGGACGGCGGTCAGAGTCACCTTGGCGCGTCTCCCGGAGGAAGGGGCAGGGCGGGGAGCGCGACTCTGGAACCCCGAGGAATGATTTCAGGGCAATTAGATGCCACATTGGGGGGAGAGGGATGCGACTGGGGACCACCTATAGTGACAGCCTTGACCCTGTATCTGCAGCTAACTCACTCCTTGACCTTGGGAGCCGGCTGTCTGCCCTGAGTCTCAGCTTCCTCATGAGTGAAGGAGGACAGTTACTGTCTGGCACTCACTTATTTGGCATGTCGAGGGGGTGGCTCGACTCTGTAGCAGTGGAGATGCTTTGAGCAAAGTGACGAAAACTGTAGACCCCAGAGATGATGCTGGTGCTCCGTGAGAAGGGGGGTGGGCGGGGCGCCTGGTGGCGATGGGGCCTAGTAAGGAGGGGAGGGGAGATAGATGGAGGGTATGCCCGAGGCTCCTTCTTGCAAGGTCACGGGTCCTCTCCTACCTGGTACCGTCAGAGGTCCAAGGGGATCGTAAGCAAAGTGGAAAACAGATTTCAAGTTTAAGAGTTCTTTAGGAAACTTGTATTGGCCACTGGTGGTGTGTGGTGTGGACGTGCTGGAGTTGGCAGGGGAGAGCCTGTCCCCTGGAGGCTTCTGGGTACTCCCGACATCCCTAGTCCGAAGGCTGAGGACCTGGGCAGCGTTCCCTAGGGTGGCCCAGAGTCTGGATCACCCAACCCTTAGGGAGGGAGCATCAGAAAATGAAGGCTTCCTGGAGTAGGTGACCTCTTAGGAGGTGTAGAGAGAAGGAAAGATGAATCAGGCTCACGGAGTGACATGTTCTGGGGCCAAGTGGCCATAGCCCGCCTGTCCCTTGTGGGCAACTGAACTCCAGAATACCAGGAGGGGGTAGGAGGGAGAAGCAATGAGTCTGGAGGGCCCAGAGGGTGAATGGCCACCCAGGCCTTGCCAGAGTGTTTGGACATTGAAGGATTTGTCGAGAGATTCGAAGCATAGAAGGAGCCACTGGGTTTGCCCTTGGAAAAGTGGTGGTGGCCCAGAGGGCTCAGACCAAGGCCAGGCCAGTGAGGAAAAGCGGTAGTAGTCAGGGAGGGACATAACCAGCACCCGCCAGGACTGGTGCCTTTCCGAGGAGGGAGAGGTGTTTCGGTGGGCCAGGCGATGTACGCTGCCTGACGAGGGGCTGTGCAGACTCGAGGGGAAGTCGGACGCCTGGGCGGTGATTTGGGTCAAAGGAGGCAAAGACGTTGGATCTTGGAGCAGAAGAGATGGTGCAGGAGCTTCAGGCCGAGAAGAGTTGAGTTGAATAAAGGTGGACAAACCCTCTTTCTGCCAGTCCCCTGAGGGGTCTCTCCTGGGTGTTTGCTGGGTGCCCGCATCTCCTGACACTGGAGCGGAGCTTGTGGGCCGGGGTGGGTGCTTTCCAGGGTGCTGCCGTGCGCGCCCGGTGCCAGCCTCTGTGCTGCCCTCCACGTCCGTCCACTCTTCCTTTCCTTCCACGGGCATTTGTGGACGGCCTACACTGTCCAGGCACAGCCCTAGGCCCTGGGAACATCCCCGCCTTCAAACAAATCGCAGGGCGGGGCCGAGGCAGCCTGCGAAGATGCAAAGAACAGAGTCTGGAGTCAGGTAAACCCAAGCCCGACCTTTCCACGGCCATGGCCTGGCAGGTTTTCGAACTTGTTTCAGCCTCAGTTTCCTCTTCTGCCAAGCTAGATGATAATTTCTACCTTTCAGGGCCACACACAAAGGTGCTGTGGTGTGGGCTCTGTGCAGGTGACTCCTCTCCCCTGTGACCTAGATGTGGCCTCCTGCAGGCCAGATGGGGGTCCTCAGTTGAAACCCTTTGACTGCTGATCTGCTTACTTCGAGTCCACTGTCCACCCCAAACTGGAGCCCATGTAATGAGTGAGCCCAGTCCACAGACACCGAGAACACCTGTGATGGGCGAGGGACCGGCGACGTCTGGGGGCACCGCTTAGCCAAGCTCCTGTCTTGAGAGAAGCATGACACTTCTTGATCTGATCGAGCTGAACACTCAGGGGACTCATACTCCTTTATTCCACGAGCAGAACATGTATCAAGCGCCTACTTTGTGCCGGACCCCGTGCTGGAGGCGTTCATAACACCTGTCTCACTTAATCCTCACCCCTACCCTTTCAGGGCGTTCAGAGGGTCGGCGAGTGTTACATCTAGTTTGTAGAGGAGGAAACCGAGACCCAGAGAGGCCAGGTGTCTTGTCCAAGGACACATGTTGGTCGCTAACACATGAAACCCCCTGTCGAGTTTGCCACAGGCCCCTCTGACGGGAAAGCTCTGACTGTCCCGCACTGATCAAGGACTTCAGGCTTGGTGACGCTAACCGGAGAGGTTCAAACTGTGCTTTGGATGCAGGTGTTTCTCATGCTCCTCAGACGAGCCCGCCCCCTCCAGCGCAGACAATTTTTCCTCCTCACAGATTAAGTGAAATGGAGAGCTTCTTAAATCATAAGATTGGGAATAAAGCCTAGATCTTTAAGACTTTCCTTAGATGAACAATTAGCTTTATAAATAGAAAGCCAGCCAGAAGTTCTCCTTGGTCAAGTCTTCTCTGTTAACATCTGTGAATATTAACCTTTCCTTCCACCCTCAGCCTCGGAGGAGAGGCTGAAAAAGGTGACCCAGAGCTCCTGCCTGGGTTCAGGAAAGACTGGTGGTGATTTGAGATGGGGATATTTCTGGCATGGGAGGTGGGAGTGGGGAAAAGTAGCCTGGGAGCATGGAGTGGAGAGCAGAGTGATTCTGCATATCTCAGGCTATAGATTTTTCTCATTGCTCACCAATTGTGAATTTTTAATGTTGAAAGTTTCTTGATTAGACATAAGCCCACAACTTCCTGGTCAAAACCACACACATGCATTTAGCAAAGCCTCTTAAAAATTTAAAAATTACCAAACTCTCCATTGGATAGTTTTAAACAGTCAAGATTAGGCTCACCAGGCTGTGGCCCTGATGGCTTGCAGACGCCAGCTGTGGGTGTGGGGGTGCTGGCAGATTTGTCTGGGCTGGGGAGCCAACTTATTTCAGTTGTTTCTTCTCACATTAGGCTAAATCATATACAGTTATAAACATAAGTAAGCTGCATCCTAATAAGGGCCATTGCTTAGAAGGAAGGATTGTTGAGTTAAGACATCTGTCATGGCTTGAATTGTGTCTCCCCAAAGAGAGATGTTGAAGCCCTATCCCCCAGCCCCTCAGAATGTGGCCTTATTTGGAAATATGGTCATTGCAGATGTCATTAGTTAAGTTGGGGGCACACTGGAGTAGGGTGGGCTCCTAACTCAATGTGGCCGATGTCCTTATGAGAAGATGGTCACATGAAGACAGAGACAGGGAGAAGACCATGTGATGAAGAAGACAGAGGCCGAGTGGTGCAGCTGTAAGCCAAGCGCTACAGATCGCCAGCCAACTGCCAGCTGGTTGGAAGAAGCAGGGAAGGACCCCCTACAGATTTCAGAGGGAGGATGGCCCCTCTGACGCCGTGGTCATGAGCTTCTGGCCTTCAGAACTGAAGGACAAGAAATTCCTGGTGTTTTCAGCACCATCTAGTTTGGGGTACTTTGCTATATCCACCCTGGGAAACCAATACAATATTGTTGTGGATTGTCCAGCCCCACAGGCGCCCTCTGTGATGGCAGACAGTGAGCAATGAGCTGGGCTCCCTAGAGTGTCCTCTCTGTCCACAGTGCAGCATCCAGAGAGGTCATCGCCATGAGACAATGAAGAGCATTGGGGCTGCACGCACAGGTCCCCTTTCCCTGGAGAGCAGGTGTCTCCCCCTCTCCTGCAGACTCAGTTGAGTTTAAGGCTGACTAAGGACATTGTCATTCAGTGTAGCTAAGTTCCCCCCATGGTTTTAGTGCCAGTGGGTACTCTGTAGCATGCAAAGCGGGGCTTATGCCTGTTATAGGAAATACAGAGGTGAGTAGAGCACAGCCTTGACCCTAAGGGAGCCGGTGGGCCCATCATCATCATCATCATCACCACCATCATCATCATCATCACTGTTATCACCATCATCATCATCATCACCATCATCATCATCATCATCATCACCATCATCATCATCATCATCATCACCATCATCATCATCATCATCATCACCATCATCATCATCATCATCATCACCATCATCATCATCATCATCATCACCATCATCATCATCATCATCATCACCATCATCATCATCATCATCATCACCATCATCATCATCATCATCATCACCACCATCACCACCATCATTGGGACTGCCAGACACTGTTCTAAGTACTATACATCGATTTTTCATAAAATTTGAAGAGGCAGATGCTAGTACTTCATCTTACAGGTGAGGCGAATGCAATAAAATAGAAACTCGGTAACTTCGTCAAGTTCCTAAGTCATCTAGAAAGTGGCAGAGCTGGGATTTGAACCCAGGCGAGGTGGCTTAAGACACCATGCTCTCGTCCTCTGTGCACAAGGGGTTACAGAGCCAGTATTATATAGAAGAGGACTGAGTTGCATGTACAGAAAAGAAAGACAGGATACCTACAGTGCCCCTGTCACAGGCAGTGTCACGCAGCTCAAGGGGGATCCACCTTAAGACAAACTGCCACTGAGGAACGCGGAGCAGACACAGAAAGAGCCCAGCCCTCAGGGAACAGGCGTGAGGCTCTGCTCTCACCGCGCCTAGGGCCACCCACCCTCCTCTGGACTCCTGGTCACTTGCCAGCATCAACCTTGCTCATAGAAAGATCTCCAAGATGTTTGCTGGACTTGCAAGTAAAGATGGCGGACCGAATGTGTGCATTTATCTTTTTTCTCTTCCGAAGCCTACTAATGGAACAATGAAGGGGTTTCAAAAAGCCACAAAGGCCACAAGAACAGGAGAGAGGACAATAGCAATAAAGTTGGGAGCTGGGGAGTAAATAATGAGTGGTAACTGACCCCACTAGCTGAGGAGCCACCTGAGTCACACGCAGGATCCCTGAAGCCCAGGGATGGGGACACCAGTCATCCTGGCAGTGAGCGATGATGGAGCTTTAAACAGGAGGGCTGGGCGAACACCACGTTAGGAAGGATTTAGATCCCCAGATCCTCTTTCCATTCCGTACAACTTCTTCCCAGCCCTGGCGAGAGCCTACAAGTAAGCAAGTCTCCTGAGAGGGGGTCTCTAGACACCCACACATTTGAGAACGAGCAATTTGGGTGACATCCGCACATCGAATGCCAAGGATGGCCTCCCGGCCGCTTCTCCTGGCCGCAGCGACGGCAGTCTGTACCCTCTCAGAGACTCCACTGAAGTCCATCGTCCTCCTGTCTCAATCATGAGCAAGTAACCAAGGATCTCCAGACAACCAAGGAAAGTCTCTAACATGGAAGTTAGAGACCAAGTTAAGGGACCAAAGAAAGGCGAGTTGGAGGAAAGAGAGACTATATGGAGAGGAATAAACTTTCTGCCCCCCACTCGTCAAACCCCTATTGGTAATGTCCTCAGACGAGAGAAAGGATGCATCACTAAAATAACAGGATGCTTTAAGGGGAACTATGCAGAGAACAGCGACAAAGCCAAAACACCTTGGAGATTAAAAATAATTGTAGAGTGGACGTGGTTCCTTCCACAGTGTAGCGGTTAGCACGTCTGCTTTACACACAAAAGGTCCTGGGTTCGCGCCCCAGTGGAGCCACGGTCCATGGTCTACGGCCATGGCGCCCTGAATAAGCCCCCAGTGGAGCCACGGTCCACGGTCTACGGCCATGGCGCCCTGAATAAGCCTGATGTCTGATCTCCAAAACTAAGCAGGATCGGGCCTGCTTAGTATTTGGATGGGAGACCACCTAGGAAGATGAGGTGCTGTAGGCATAAATAATAATAAAATAAAATAAATAATAATCGTAGAGATGAAAAATTCAGCAGAAGGGTAGGAAGATAAAGCTGGAAAAAAAAATCTTCCAGGAAATAAAGCAAAAAGGCAAAGAGATAGTAGATAAGCGGGTGGAGGTGGGGAAGAAACCCAGAAGTTTGAGACCCAGCACTTCCCCATCTTTTGCGAAGTACAAATGAATCACTGGAAATATGATCATGCAGGTCGGGCACAGCATGTTAAATCGCTGTGGAAATTTCTAGATACTGGATGAGTCACAGTGTACAGACCAACACTGGTCTGTGGAGGTCCTGCTTTTGCCTGTGTTATGCATAACCCCGGTTTTTAAAAAAGGACATAAAAATAAAAAAGGGAGTTCTCACTACTAGGACAGCTATAATTTAAAAAAAAAAAATGCAAACTAAAAAGCGTTGCTGAAGTGGTGAGGATGGAACACTTGTGCGTGGACGTTGCCGGTGGGATGTGAAATGGTGCAGCCGCTGTGGGAAACAGCGTGGGGGGCCTCAGGAGACTAAACACAGAATTACCACACGAACCAGCAATTCCGCTCCTCAGTATATGCCCCACAGAACTGAAAACAAGGACTCAGATACTTGAATGCCAACGTTCATAGCAGCATTATTTACAAATGGCTGAAAGGTGGAAACAATCCAAATGCCGATCGCCAGATGAAGGGATAAATACAATGTATATATTTGTACAATAGACTACTATTCGGCCATAAAAAGGAATGAAATTCTGACAGTAGGGGTTGCCGGGCACTAGGGAGGGTGAAGATGGGAGTGAATGATTAATTGGTACAGAATTTCTATTTGGGGTGATGGAAAGGTTTTGCAAAGGGACAGTGGGGATGGTCATACAATATCGTGAATGTTATTAGTGCCACTCATTGTACATTTAAAAATGGTTAAAACAGCAACTTTCATGTTACGTATATCTTATCACAATAAAAAGAACTTTAAATGAACCTTATGTCTAAAGGTTCTTTCATTACATGTGAAATTAAAATTTTAAATGGTAACAATCATGACATAAAAATAAAGAAGGATAAAGAAGGGGGAAGCCAGAGGATCAGGGAGGGTTTGTCAAGAGGGTGGAAGGTGTAGGGGGGGCAGGATTCCGAGAGGCAGCAGTGGAGGAGAAGTTTGGGATAAAGACCCAGCTACAGGGCTGGGGCGATGGGCTGGGTTATTTCAAGGAGCCCGTGTGGCCGAAACCAGGGACCAAGTAGAGAAACAGCGGGAGATGAAAGATTGGACAACTCTGATGGCCACAGAAGGAGATCAGGTGTATAGCCCGGCATAGCCCTGGAGGGCGGCGTCTGAAGCAGGGTGTCACGGAATCGGCACTGTTCTCCGCGGCGGCCGCCTTCAGACCTCTGCATGCTTCAGAATCACCTGGAGGGCTCGTCCCCTTCCCCCCCAACCCCCGCCAGAGTTTCTCACTGTAAGGACGGGGGTGGGGGGACCAGCTGTGGAGACGGGTGGGTGGTGGGGCCAGGAACTGAACCCTTTCTCTTCTCCCCAGACACTACCACCCGCCTCCTGCTTGGGGCCATCGCTGTCTTGCTGTTCGCCATCCTGGTGGTGATGAGTGTCTTAGGTGAGCGTGGCCGTTCTGGTCTACATTTAATCAATCACTTGTATGGAAAAAAAAAAAAGTTTATAGAATTTGTATGCAACATGATCCAAAGAGGGATGTTTAATATGACAGGTGAAAAAAAAAAAATCAAGATTAAAATATATCTTTAGAAACTCAGATGAGCCCATGTGAATGAGATAAATGTGGAAGAAATAGATATAAGATCCTTCATTTGGACTTAAATGGTGATTTACCCATGTTTGGGCCACTGGGGAGACCCTGGCTTGGAAACGGATCACGTGAAAACAGCTGGAGAGCATGGCTTAATTCCCTCTGGCCAGGGATGCGCGCGTTTGCACACGCCCACAGACGCAGTCTGCAGGCTGCGAAGCCCGCAGCCACCGGGAGGCAGTGGCGTGATCGCCACATCTGCGATGGGGCCGCATCTGACATTTCCAGTCTGTCCTGGGGGCAGCGTCTTCGTGGTAGTGCGGCCAGGATGGAGCCAGGCAGGATGGAGCCGGGCCTGGAGAGCAGGCGACCCCGCCAGGAACCGTGGGGGTGACAGTGTCTGTTTCAGCCTGGGGGGAGGGGAGGCCGGTGTCCGTCTTCAAGCAGCCACTAGAAGGCAGACGAGGTTCACTCTGGGTCAGCCCGGAGGCAGATCCAGGACCAGCAGGTCCAAGGCACAGGAAGGCACATTAGAACTCAGAACTGAAAAAGAACTTTCCAGCAGTTCCGTGGTGGGACTGGCTGCCTCATTGGAGGATGAGGGTGTGGCCGATGAGCGCAGGCCCCTGGAGCCTGCAGACGGGTCCCGCCCTGGCTGGAGGAAGGGCCAGGTCCCTTCCAAGTCTGAGTTTCTGGGGTTTCTTCAAGAGAGAGGAGAGAGAGGAGATCTTCGCCACGGGGCTGACCTGCTGTCGCATCCCCTTGTGGTGGCACCGCTGCCAGCCTCCCAGTTCCCTCTTCCTTGTGCATTTGGTCACCAACCTCCTACCGGCCAGGCACTGTGAGAGTCGCCCCAAAGCCGAGGCAGGTCGGGGGAGAGGTAGCTGCGGGGAGCAGCGCAGGGCTCCCCGGGGGGCCAGGCGGGGCCGGGGCCGCGGTCGGGTGCTCAGGGGCCAGGGCCAAGGTCGAAGCTGAGCCTCCCTACCCGCCCCCCACCCCCCAGCTTCCAAGGGCTGCATCAAGTGCGAAGCCCCCTGCCCGGAGGACTGGCTGCTCTACGGAAGGAAGTGCTACTTCTTCTCTGAGGAGCCGAGAGACTGGAACACGGGCCGGCAGCACTGCCACAGCCACGAGGCCGCGCTGGCCGTCATTCAGAGCCAGAAGGAGCTGGTGAGTGCCAGGCGGTGCGGGACCCTTCAGGACAGCACGCGAGGCCGCGGTGCCCCCCGCCCCCCAGCACAACCAGCCACCGCACAGCCTGGCGTGTGCGGGTGGCCCCCCCAGGGTCTGAGCGGTCCACGGTGGCGCTTGTTTCCACTGCTGTTGTCACGGCCAGCTATTTCGTTCCCTAGGGGGGCGGGGGGAGGGGGGCTTGCTGAGCTCGACTGCGTAGTGTAGCGTGTAAGGATTGCAAATGCGCGTGTGAAGTGGAAAAACGCATCGGCGTCTTCTACAGGTCCACGAGCTCTCACGTCACACCCCAAAGGGCTTATCAACGGAAATGCAAAAGAAATACAGTCAGCGAGTCCACCGGCCCTTTGGGATTTTGAGGGTGAGAGTGGCATGGAGATCCAAGATAGCAGATAATCTAAAAATCACTTCCGTCCGTCTCTGATACGCGCTGTCATGCCTCCTCCTGCAGAGGAGGCCCGGAGTGTGCAGGGCGCCCGGGTCGTCCCCGACAGCTCGGCAAGTGGCCACCGCCCAGCTTCCTGCAAATCAGGGGGGGAGCTGAGAGCCAGAGGCGCAGACCCTGTTCTGGGCTCCCGGGCCCGGTGGGCATGCTCCCGGCACCGGCTCGCTTAGGGGCCATTGCAGGCGACGGCCCTGTGGTCAGTCGGTGCGGGGGCAGGGCGCTCTGTAACCCCACGCCTCGCTTTCGGGGTGCAGTGGGGCACCCTCCTCTCAGCGCCTGTGTATCTTGGGAGCCAGCTAGTCCGGGGGAGTGTGAGAAGTCAGTAGGTCGCACCTGACTGAACTTCCCCTCTTTCCTTGGTACAGGAATTTATGTTCAAGTTCACGCGGAGGGAACCCTGGATTGGCCTGCGCAGAGTGGGGGACGAATTCCACTGGGTCAACGGGGACCCGTTCGACCCGGACACGTGAGCGGACGCTTCATCTTCTGGCCGCGGAGCTAAGACCGGGCAAGGCCTCCGGGAGGGGACCACTCGGTGGTGCGCTAGCTAGAGCTGCAAGCCGTGGGCTCAGCGGCGTGTGTCAGACGCCCCCCCACATGCCTCCCTCTCGCCCCCGAAGTCCAGCTGGTCTGGTGGCTCCGCTCCATGCAGTCATCAGATCTCTCCGCTGCCAGGGCCCAGGCTCTTTCCGTCTCGTGACTCCTGTCCGTCCGTGCGGCAGCCTGTCCGCATGGCCGCATGGCTCAGCCTCGGCCTCAGCGGGAGAGAGGGAAGCCAGTCCCTGCCTGGGACGGCCCTCTGCCCCTCTGCGTTGGCCAGAACTTGGCCTCACGACTACACCTGGCTGCGAGGGCGGGCGGGAGACGGGCAGCCGTCGTTCCCGCGGAAGGAAGGGGGTCTGAGCCTGGGGCACCGGGGCTGTCCTCACAGTGAGCAGGCCTCGGGAGGCGTCGGTGGTACCTGGGAGCGAGTGTGCGATGGGGGTGGCGGGTGTGCGATGCCAAGGACTGGTTTGTGGTGTGGGGTGACGGCTGTGGTTGCCATGGGTGCTGGGGTGTATGGCTGTGGCAGTGGGGATGTGATCGTGCATGGGGTTGGGGGGCGGGCAGTCTAGGTGGGGGAAACGCAGGGGAAAGGGAGTCAGAGCCTCGGCCTCCAGTCCAGACCCTCCGGCTGGAGGACTAGGCCATGAGGAGCCAAGTGGGGGCACAGCTGCTGACCTGATGATGACGTGTGAGTGTCCCCAAGGCGCTCGAGACCCCCAACCCCCACTGTGGCCGGAAGCCGGCCATCGGCGGCCTCCCGTCCAGGCTAACTTCCTCTCGTCTCCTTCCCCTTCCAGCCCCCTCCCACGTCCATTCTCAGCGCAGCTGAGCCGGTCTCGCATGCCTGTGCCCTTCCTCCCCCTTCCAGAAACTTCCCGCTCCCAGAGCCAGGGAGAGCCCTGAAGGCTGGGGTCCCCACAATGCGGCCACCTGGCAGCCAAGGGCGTTGGGACCTCAGTCCCCTGACACCGAAGGGTCCTGCCCCCCACGCTCCCTCTAGGGGTCATTCCGACACCGTCTCGTGAGACCCTAGCTCCAGCCGTGGCAGGGGCTCAGGTCAGAGTGAACACCTGAGGCGCAGAAGAAACCTTGAGATATGAGAGGGGCGATCTTAGGCAGGAAGAACCCCCTCCCCCACCCCCACCCGTCTGTCGGTGGGTTTCCGGGGCAGCACAGCCCCTGGCGTTACACGTTACCCGCGGCGTTATTCGGGTCCACCCCTAACCTGTCCATCATCCATTTCCGCTCATCCCTGCTGAGCTCCTCTCATGCTAGACGGACACCGTGTGAGCCCACTGTCCGGCCGCGTGGGGGACCGATGGGGACAGACAGACACAGGCCCGTGGGAGGCTGTGGTGCAGGCAGGGTGCTGCGGGGCGGGGGTGGGCAGAGGGTGGTCCTGGTGGGTGCTCGGCTCATGAAGTGGTGAGTGCCCTGGAAGGATGTGGAGGCAGGTGGGGGGGGTGCAGGGCGTGCCCAGCAGTGTCTGCGGGGTGTCTGGAGGTGACTAAGAGTGAGGGACAACGGAAGGCCCCGCTAGGAAGGTCTCGGGGCTGAAGGTCCTGGAGGGTGACTCCAGGGAGAGGGGCAGACCCCGCGGGGGGCTGTGTGTGCCCGGGGGTGAGCGCTGGTCTCTTCTCTCCCGGCCAGATTCCCCATCGCGGGCCTGGGGGAGTGCGTCTTCGTGGAGCCCACCAGGCTGGTGTCCACGGAGTGTCTGATGACTCGGCCCTGGGTGTGCAGCAAGATGGCCTACACGTGAGGTGGGTCAGGCCCGAGGCGGCCCTCCGGCCAGGCCAGACCTGCCCGCCCAGACTCCGCTCCAAGGCGATGTGGTGAAGAGGGGGCCTTCACTCCGGGGCCCTCTGCAGGGCCCACGGGCCCAGGTTCCTGGCCTCCTTGGCCCCAGGCGGGTCCTGTGGCTTAGCACTTAAATCCCACACGCTCTATAGTATAGGTACCTGTTCCCGCAAAGTGGGTGTGCATGCACACACATGCACGCACACGCCTGTGCACACACATGCATACACACATGCAATCACATACGCATACATGTGCGCACACACGCACACACACGTGTACACACAGAGAGAAGCAAACAGCCCCCTCTTAAGCTCAGAGTCCACCCTTAGCCACCTGGTGTGTCCCTCCCTGGCCTGCTCTGGACCATTCCTTCCTCCTGGGGCCTGGAACTGACACAGACTGCGGTACTGCCCCCCACACAGCCCCCCTCACGCCCCTCAGGTCTTTCCTCTCCTGGTTGCTGGGGTGGCCGGGAGGGGCAGCTTCCTGTCACCTGGCTCCCCACGTCCACCCTCCTTGCCGTCCCCGGGATCCTCAGGGAGGCCCCGCTGCGCCTGTGGTGCTGTCGTGTTGGTCACTGACGGAATAAAGAGACGACTGGCATCCAGGGATGTCGCTGCCTTTTGTTCCCGGTCGTGGCTCGGGCAGTGGGACAGGGGCGTGGCTCCGGGTGCCCGTCTGGAGGGGGAGGGGCACCACCAAGATTCACATGGTCTAGCTTGGCAGGTGGCAATGTGTAGGAGCCAGCGACAAAAACACATTTTGTGGCCTCGGGGCACCGTTTAACTTTGCTAGGCCCCCGAGTTATTCTTAGACGTCTGGAGGGTGTGCTCCATCTGGCTCCTTCATTACTATTCCGCTCGACATGACAGACGTTTATTCACACCTACCACGTGCCAGACACCACGCCAGGCGTGGGGATCAACAGCTTTATCCCCCAAGGAGCTCGCAGGGACCGAGGAAACAGTTTGGAAAGCAGCGGAACATTCTGGAACACAGTCCAGGCATGGTTTATTCTGCCGTGGGGGAGGATGGGGTGAAGTGAGTGAGAGGATTGGCCACGGGGAAGAGAGGACGCTCATGTTGGCCCCACAAGGGTTTGTGCAGGTCCCACAACCTCTCCCTGCCTGCCCTGGTCTGCCCGGGGGACGAAGTGGGGGCTGGCAGTTCCCCGGGCCTGCAGAGGCGCCCCGTGCCTCCACCTTGACACACACGCGCCTGGAGCCCTAGAGCAAGCTGCAGTGGGGCCCAGGCCTCCCCGGCCTCTTCTTGGTGTCTCCGGCTGTGTGAGGCGCCCGTGGGAATTTGGGTCCTGGCCCATTTTCAGAAAACAGCTCAGAGGGAAACCAGGCCCAGCTCTGCTCTGCTCAGTTCTTTCTTTGTGACTTTTTGGACAAAACCCTCAAGTTGGTTTTGTCGACCTTTTTGCGTGCTTTCCAGATGGCTAGTGAAATGTGGGCACTTTGTGGTTTTGTATTTTGTCTTTATCTGGAAGCTGGTGGGGGACCTCTGTGTGCAAGAAAGAGTTAAGGGAATTCGGCATGGTAGTGGTGGGCCCGGAGGCGGCCGGAAGCCCATCGCCCACCCAGCGCCTGCAGGGCAGTGTGGAGGAGGCGGTCAGCTACGGCTCTCCGTTACACACAGGCCACTGGTCTCACAGTTTTCCCCCCAACCCCCAGCCCAGAGATAGCCTGGCTCAAGAGCCTTAGCACCTTGCTGTATGTACACAGGGCACCTCATCTAATTCTAGCAGAAGTGCCAGGAGGCAGGTGATGCTCCACAGGGGACAAGGGGACAAGGCCAGGGGAGCAACTGAGCTGTGCTCTCAGTCTTGCACTGAGGGCTCAGAAGGACCCAACAAATAGGTGAGCGGGGAAGGAAACAAGGACCTAAGGACCTTGTGCCATTTGGACCTCATTTCTCATTTAACTCTCCAAAGCCTGCTGCCTGAAGTTTTCAAGGCACAGTGGCAAGTGAGCTCCCCTCACCTTGGGTTTGTCCTGGGACCACAGGACAATTCTAACCAGTGTAGTACAGCTAGAGGAACCCCGCTCCGGGTCGCCGATGTTTCGAGAGCTTTCCAATCTGGTTCTTACCGAGGAAGGAAACACAAGACAGAAACAAAACAAAACGCTGGCACACAGGGCTTCAAAAATGTAGAAAACCCTTGGTTGGTTATAGGCCAGCCAAGCGACCCCGCCTGACCGCGGGGCCCGGGCTGGGTTTGCCGGGCGGCGGAGCCGGGGGCTGTGCCCTCGGCGGCCACAGGAGGGCAGCACTGGGTAAGCTCCGCTCAGAGCCCGGGCCGCTGGGCGCGTTGGATGGAGCTCGAGCGCCAGTCCCGCCCTCGGAGCAGCCCCTGGAGCCTGCGGGTGCCTGCGGAAGGCTGGAGCACGCACACCGAGCCACCCTCAGTCGTCCTTTGTGAAGATGGAGGGTGACGGGAGGGCTTTTTCCGGACTCACTAGGGTGGTAGCGTTCGGTGCCGTGCTAGTGGGTTAACTAGCGGTTGCTTAATCTCCCACAACCCTGCAAGGCCTGCATCATCCGCTCGTCCCTACAGAAGAGGAAACTGGCTCAGAGAGGTTAAGAGACTTACTCCGTATTACACAGCTAGGAGGTGGCGGAGGCAGAATTCGAACCCAGACCCATCCCCGCAGGGCCCTTGGGAACCATTTGTGTGGTCCAGCTCTGAGGCCAGCTCCAGGAGGGAGGGTGTCTGTGCCCTGATGCAGAAAGGGCCTCTCTGGGCAGGACGTCCGCGTGCCCACAGGCGATGCTTTTCGGCACACTTTTATCTTCTTCATATGGTTTTCCTAGGAATTACCCATAGCGAGTGGGTAATACAGAGAATGACTTCTGTTCTCTCCCTTCAGGACCCAGCTCCAGCCTCCCTGGGATGCCTTCCCGGACAGCAGCAGCCCTCGATGGCCTCTCCCTTCCCCCAGCCCCCAGCACCTCGGCACTTACGACTGAGCCTCTCACGTGTCCGTCTGTCACCTCACCATCTCTCTGCGTCACCTGACCGCTCCCGTTATCTAATTATAAACCCCTGGAGAGCAAGGACTGAATGTTGCTGGTCTCTTTGTGGCACACATAGCACGTGCTCAGAAGCTGCGGTCTATGACAATAAGATCGCCCCCGGGGTCACTGAACGTGTGTTTGCCATGGTGGGAGAAAGCAGTGGGCACCATCGTCAGAGCTCTGTCTTTCTGGCTTTGGTGGGCACGGCATAGTTTTAGAGGCACAGCAGAGAGGAACTCTGTACTTTGTGTTGCTTCAATTAAATGAGCTTTGCAACATCCCCTGAGCGTGCGCATACACACTGGGCGGGCTCAGTGGGGGTGGTCGGGAAGTACAGGGGCGAGGAGGGAGAGCGATCTTGGCCTCCGAAATGTTCTTTGCATCATACGCAGAGCCCAGCCAGTGAGGAGATGGCTGTGAGGGGGACCCAGGCTCAGGGAGGGAGTCGTCCATCAGCGCCTGGGGCTGGCCGCCGAAGCCTGCGCGACCCCCAGGCGTCGTGCTCATGTCGCTGCGCTGCTCCATGAGAGAGGACTCCGGGTTCCCAGAAAGGCCCACTGTCTGCTGCGTGTCCCCAGCAGGAGTGGGGGACGTGGAGGCGGTAACCGCCTCTTTCCTCTTCTCGGTCTGGCGCCAGCTCCAAACTGAAAGTGTGGAGTCCAGCTGGGGACATCCCGTAAGCCTGGCCGTGCCCATCTGATCCCAGCTCCGGAGCGCACACGCACTAGGCCTGGCCCTGAGACCTGCCCGAGTGTAGTCGGGGGCTCGCTCTCCCAGCACCCGGTTGTGTAGCTCAGGCCGCTGTGTGAAACCTCTCTGGCCCTAGGCTTCACCGCTATGAAGGAGAAATCACGCCTGCCATGCCTACCTCGCCTGGTTTTGAGAACTGTACACGTTAGAATTTCAGGATTTAGAGATGATCGACCCCATTCTCACTATCCATGGAGCTCAGAGGGGTTAAGTAACATGTCCAAGGTCACACAGCTAGTGGCAGAGCTAGAACTCGAGTCTTGTAACTCTCCTATTTCCTGTTTATACTCTTGTTATTGCACGTGTCATGCTTTGTTTATTTGTTTACTTGTTCGCCATCCACACGGAAGTGTAAGCTCCTAAGGGCAGGGATTCATGCTCACACTTTTTTGTTTCTCTAGCACCTGGTACGTACAGAAGGTGCTCAATAAATGTGTGTTGAGCTAAACCAACCTTGACTCCTAGTTCAAGTGCTCTCTCTATACCAGGCTGTCTCTGATCCGGGAAATCCACACTTCCAGTTTGGTTGCCCACAAAAAGATAAGCAAAATGCTCACCCGCCTTGTGACATCTATTAGGGTCCTGTAGCAGGGGTCCCCAGCTCCTGGGCTGCAGAGCGCTCCCAGTCCTGTTAGGAACCGGGCTGCACAGCAGGAGGTGAGCGGCAGGAAAGCAAAGCTTCATCCCTATTTGCAGCTGCTCCCCAGCGCCAGCATCACCGCCTCAGCTCCACCTCACATCCTCAGGCATTAGGTTCTCACAGGAGCACTGGTCCCTGGTGCCAAAAAGGTTGGGGACTCTAGAGCACAGGATCCATTTGAACAAATAAATACACGTCTAAGACAAAATTGGAGTAACGGTAATGATTAACAATTAGGGTGCTGTGCTAAAACATTTCCTACTTGAATTGCTTACTTAGCCTGGCCCATAGTAAGTGCTTAATCAAAATGTATCTTCTCTTGTCTACGGCCATGCCACCCTGAACAAGCCTGATCCTGACTGATCTCGGAAGCTAAGCAGGGTCGGGCCTGGTTAGTACTTGGATGGGAGACCACCTAGGAGGACCAGGTGCTGTAGGCATTAAAAAAAAAACAAATATATCTTCTTAGAGCCTTCGCACTTACACAGCATGCTGCAGATACAGACGATGCTCCAAGAAACCAGCCTGCCACATATTGACTCGGTATCCAGGATGCTTCGGTCCTAAGAAACCTCCAAACTGACCAATCACGATGAGGAGGGAGGGAGAATATGGAGAATTGTGCATCGGTCCTCAAACGCTTCCACCTGGAAACGTCTCATGTCACTTTTCCTTATTAAAGGAAGTCACTGGACACCCAACTTCAGAGAGACCAGGAAATATAATCCTTACAGGTGCCAGAAGGAAAGGGAAGAATCTTGGCGCATGGCAGTCTTATGTACCACATCCCCCGAAACACATCTGTGTGAACCTCCACATTCGAAGCCCGTGACCGAGCAAAGCTGTTTCCCGTCACCGACCTGCCTTAGTCTGCGCTGTGAGCCAGGAAGAGGTCTTTACTTCATTAAACCTCTGAAATGTGGGCATTGTTCCAGAAGCTAGCAGACTCTTATACCCTCCATAACCTACGTTCTAAAGTTAAAGACGATAACAATAAGATGGGTTAATTGGTATAATAAACAATCCTCAAATTTTAGTGGCTTAAATATAATGGAAAGCTTTATTTTGTCCCGTGTGGTTTGATCCGAACACGATGTCGTTCGGCAGCCTGGGCTTACTCCATCCGGTGGCCCCGCCATTCTCCAGGCCCTTGGCGTCCTTCATGGGATCTTCCGCACCTGGCCAGAAGTTGAGGGAGGACGTGTAGACAGGTGTTGGAGAGTTTGGTAGGGGGCAGGTCTGGCCATGTTTATCTGCAAACAGAGATAGGAAATGGGATCTGGCCATGTGCTAGAGGAAATGGCTTTGGGGACTATCCAAACGTCTTTGCCACATGCAGTGTTTTTCCCACTTTATAGATAAGAAAATTGAGGCTTCAGAGGGTGAGTGATTTCTCAGCTCTAACAGCCATAAACAACAGAGTCTGGAACTGAACCAGAATACGGCTGACATCAAAGCCATGCTCTGAATTACGCTGTCGCCGTACTGCTGCCTCCCCTAATGCCTCCCGGTCCTGTGCCTGCGACATCTCTTCCCCCTGAGCAGGACTTCCTCTGAGAATCCTCAAATTTCCCTGTCACCCGGTAATTTGCTCTCTTCCAAACAGCCCCATCCACAAGCATTAGTTTGCAATGGGTAAAGATTCTGCGAGAGCGATAACGTGTAAAAAAGATGTTTCAACAGGACGTGAAAAGACAAAAGTAGTAATGTCTTCTGTAGATGGTTTCTTTACACAGGTACCCGTGATCCAGTGCTGTTAGAAGTGCTGTCAAATGCAAAGTGTCTCCGTAGGAGGGGACAACACATCTCCTGCTGACCAGCACCTGTGAAACAACGTTCAACAACTGGAATTGGGTGGTCTCGTAACGTGGAGGAAAGTCTAGCTCCTAGCTCTGTTTTTTTCCTGCAGAGTGAGGATTCGGGTCGTTGCTGGACACTGGGTTTTACCATCCTCAAGCAGTGCCAGACAGTGTAAGGCAAGCTGCAGCGGAGATAAATCTCCAAAGAGGAAGTTTGCATGGTCTGAGCGAGACATAAATGTGTGAGGTGGGCGCGAGGGAGCCTAAGGCGCCTTCTTTAAAGCTGAGTGTGGGCGGAAGGGACTGAACGAGCAAGTTAAGAGGTCACGAGGACACTCACCCCATCAGTGTTACATTTACGGGTCACCCTTAGTGTATCCTCTGCTTTTACACTTATTTAATATTTGCTTAAGCTTAGCTCTTCTGGGGAAGACTTAGAAAACATGGAAGTCAGACTCTCACAAAAATATACAGCTGGCTGTTTGGACCGACTGCTGGACATAACCGCCACCATGCAGCAACACCCCCCCCAGAGCCGGGGTATGTCCCTTGAAAGCTGAAGCCCCAACGGGCAGGGGCCCCGAGCCGGCTGCCGGGTGGGGGCACCAACTGTTGGTTTGGTCCTCGGCCAGGAAATAGCACTTGTTATGGCAGGTCTAGAATTCCACTTCCTGTTCACCCTTGGTTCCAGCGAGCAACTAAGGCCACTTAAGATTTGCTATCACCCTGGTATTGACGACGCTTGAGGGGCATCCTGTCAGGAGTCTGTCTGTCTTCTCACTTTAGACTCAAATAACTTTGCAGAGACCCTGGTGGTGCGTCCTCACACACAGCTGCACCGCGTTCCCCTGGCAGCTCGCTCTCTGCCCACTGGTGTATAGCGAATGTCTGTTTCTCTCTCCACTTCCACGGGCTGTGATCCAGGCAGAGCACTTCTACTTAAAAAAAAAAAAAAAAAGGATGTAGAAGAGTTTCGTCCCAATCTTTCGCATGGGTTTTTAGTAGCTTGAATTTCGGTGGAGTTGAATTGAACCCCAATTCAAGAAGTGCCTGCATTTAGGGCTTTATTGGTATTACCTGGATTCTGGGAGGCAGAGTGTGGAGAGTGGAAAGGTGGGTTGATTGGGTGATGAAAGCGGGCTGAGTGCTTTGCTCCATTATCCAAACATTTGTCGACCACCCACTCCGTGCCTGGCATTGGAACAGAGGCCTTAGAAACAGAGATGAGAGATAGATCCTTCCTTGCGAGGATTTTGTGGCTTTGTGGGGAAGGAAAATCAGGAGAGAAATGTGAACGGTGTAGCATCATAATTCCGTACCGGGGTGGGGATCCTAGACGAGGGTCACCTACCTCATCAGGCGCGTGAGGGTGAGCCTCCCGGAGATGTGACTCGGGCCCGTTCTGGAAGGGCATGGACGTGAGAAAGCGTGAAGGTCCAAAAAGAAAGAGGGGGGAGGCTCGATGAGAAAGTTCTAGAGAGAGAGGAAGGGACGAGGTAGGCGCAGGGCCCTGCTTCCTCTGAGGGCGAAGTGAGAAAGTGAGGCAGAGGTTCGTGGG